TGTAAACCAGAAAGCAGGCCCTCACCAGACACAGAACCTGCTGGCACCTTTGATTTTGCACTTCTGAACAAGCTAGAGTCCCGGTGCATGAAATTCGTGCACGGAGGAGGGGTTGCCTCAGCCAAGCCTGCACCCTCCCCAATCGGACATCCCTCTCACAATCTGGGACCACTGTCTTCTAACTGCGCACCTGCCTGCCTGCCATATCACCCCTAACTACTCTCCCCTTCCAGCCTGGTTGCCCCTAACTGCCTCTGCCTGCCTGCCTGATTGCCCCTAACTGCCCTCCCTGCCTGCCTGCCTGGTTTCCCCCAACTGCCCTCCCCTGCTGGCCTGATCTTGCACCCAACGGCCCTCCCCTGCCAACCTGATCTCACCTCTAATGGCCCTCACCTGCAGGCCTGATCTCACCCCCAACTGCCCTCCTCTGCTGGCCAATTTGGTTCTGATTGGTCGATTTCTATGCCAGTCAGTGTCAAAAGCTCTGCCTCCTAGGCAACCATTGGCTCCCTACAGCACCCAGATTTGGTTCTGATTGGTCAGTTTCTATGCCAGTCAGCGTCAGAAGCTCTGCCTCCTAGGCAGCCATTGGTTCTTCACAACACCCACATTTGGTTCTGATTGGTCGGTTCCTATACCAGTCAGCATCTCCAGGCCTATCTCCATAACTGATCAGAGAGGTGGGGCTGAACAGCAGCCCCACCTGCACCCCCGCCAGGCCTGGAGAGAAAGAAAGGCCTGGCTGCTGGTGAAGCCCGGAAAGAAAGAGGGAGAGAAAGAGAGAGGCAAGTACTGATCAACAGCTGCCACTAGGCTGCGGATCAGACCTTGTCTCTCTCGCTCTGGGTTTCACCCCCTGGGACCACCAGGCTGTTGGATCACCAGGCTGCAGCGGGGCAGGCAGTGCTGGGCCACCGGGCTGCAGCGGGGCAGGCAGTGCGGGTTGCCGTGGCTGACTGAAGGATTTCCGGGTTGGTCAGCATTTGGTTGTGATGGTCATTAGGACCCTGGGCTTTTATATATCAGGATTACTTTGATAGAGTCTATTAGATTTTCACAGTTCTCTCTTTGGCAGCTTATCCACGCACCCACTGCCTGAATATCTCCTGAGGCTGTAACATGCCAGGCACTCTCCTGGCCCTGAGGAGACAAAAATAAGATCTCTGCCCCCTGCCCTCCTCTGTCAAGCCACAAACTGGTGTGTAGACAGACAGCCACTGAGCATTCGGCTTTACCCCCATGAGTGAGAATGTAACAATTCCCTCGCCCCTCTTGTGCCATACTCTCCTGCACACACCCCTGTCCACACCCCTGCACACACCCCTGCACACACCACTGTACACACCCCTGCACACATCCCTGCCCATACCCCTGCACACATGCCTGCACACACCCCTGCATACACCCTTGCCCAAACCCCTGCACACACCCGAGCACACATCCCAGCACACACCCCAGCCAACACCACTGCCCACATCCCTGCACAAACTCCTGCACACACCCAAGCATACACCCCTGCCAACAGCCCTGCCTACACCCCTGCGCACAGAACTGTACACACCTCTGCACACACACCTGCACATACCCCTGCACACACCCCTGTGCACAAACCGTGGCAAAAAACCCCCGGCCAAAAACCCCTTGACAAACACCTGGGCCAAAAACCCTGG